CTCGATTGCGCAGGCATTCAACATATACTTTTTTGTGGCAAAATATGCAATTCAATGACCATCCGTTATATCTTAATCCCGAACAATTCTTGGTTTCACAACAATGGGGTTCAGATGACATTTTGTGGTTAAGTTTTTCAAGCAGCAAAACAAAAATCAGTATTTCTCAATTATTTTCGGGTGTTTCACTTGAACTTCATTTTCTTTGGTGAATATTTTATTCAAACTTTCATGTCGTTGCAAATTTATTAACTTTTGCAGAGCAATGAAAAAACAATGTTGATACTTTGACAGCTGTCAGCTGACTGGTTCCACAAACCAATTGCATCAAATAGGCTATTGAACTTCTACTCGAACCATCCAAAACGGATGAAATACAACGTGGCCAGATCATTCATTCGCAAGATTTTTCGTGTTAGCCATAAAGATTTTTGGAATGAAAATTTGCAACGAATCAAAGACGTGTTGAAGAAGAACAATTACCCCGACAAAGTTATCAAGAATTTGATTGAGCAAGTGAGGAAGAAGAAACCGACTGATGCATCGCAAAGTTATGCGTTTTTATCATCGACGAGAATTGATGATACAGCACCAGTTAACGAAGAAACAGTCACAATCAATCAATATTCATCGATGGCGTACGTTCCGGGATTGAGTGAAGCGATCGAAAATAGTTGCAAACAATTTGCCCCGAATCTTAAATTGGCAATGCGACCGGTGAAGAAGAACTCGTACATGTTTGCCAATCTAAAATCTCGCATCAAAACAGACGACAAATCTGGATTGGTGTATTTACTCGAATGCAAGGATTGTTCTGCCGTTTACATAGGAGAAACCATCCAAAAATTCGGAACGAGAAAATCACAGCACAAGTGCGATTGCAATAAACCTGTCACGAAATATTCATCTGCACTGGCGAAACATGCGAAGAATAATGGCCATTATTTTAAATTTGATGAGGGAAAAATACTCAAACGAGAGAACAATAAAACCAAACTTCAAATTCAAGAGGTCAATCAAATCATCAAATTTGAATTGAATGCATGCAACGATAAGACTGACAAAAAAGACTACACCAACGCATATGTTAATCTAATTAAGAATGCAAAATAGGTTTTTCTTCCTTTTTCATTCCATTTATATTGATCATGTTGATAGGTTTAGGATTGAATAGGTTTTTCGTGCAATATGATTCCGTTCAATGAACGTTTTTGGCTAGTCACAGCGATATGTCAAACCTTTACTTTGACACTTCACCTAGTTTGTTGTGATTGAGAATTAGAATCAAAGTGTGAGTCTTTTTGACTCTGGTAAATATTTATTTTTACACAAAAAAACCAAACTATATTTTTTAGAAAGATTGTAACAAATTATTTCGTTTTTAGATCCTGAAGATGGCTTTCAGAAAGTCGAAATATATCGATCAATGAAATAACAAAATTTGTTGCATTTTAATTCGGAACGAAGGAGGCGATACAAGCACAACACACACACTGTGTTTATTTGAATAATAATATACTGCCAACTATCAATGACAGCAACCAATGACAGCAACAATAGAACGTATTTGTATTGCAAAATACTTCCACGTTGCAGATGGCGCTAAACCAAACGTCATTCTAGTCATTTTTCTCGTTGCTCTCCTAATTCTAACTCTCTTTCTTTTTCTCGTCAAATTGCCTTAAAATGTAATAAGAATGTAATAATATTGTGTAATGAATATAATGGAAAAAAACAATTGCATTGTTGTGCCCTGAGTAAAGTGGCCATTATTTGTATAGTAATTTAAATAGTAGATCTCAGCCATTGTACAACTAGATGTAAGCATGAAGAAACCGAATAAATAATAATAATAATCCGTCAGAAGTTGTAACCACCTATGGTTACATATGGTGTAGTGCGCGAACCAAACATATTAAGACATTGTGATGCAAAGTATATTTCATCTAAGCCACCCAATGAGCCAAACACGTGCAATTATTGTGCATAGTAAATTTTTTCCCAAATCGTGCACAATTTCTACACATATTGTGCCCAGAAACAAAATTTTATCTAAAAATCACACAATTTTTGCACTTTTAGTGCTACATTTAGCATTACATTAAAATATGCACAAAATTCAAACATTTAGCATTACATGTGTTCATTGGGCACCGAATCAGGCGGTGTTCTTCATGGCCGGCGGAGATACGCCGGATAGTGAAATTGTTGAACCACCTGGCAATCCTAGCGGACGAGTTCGTCCGTATGCGAACGGTGCAGTGAGACTGCTTCTTCTTCTTAACTAACACATCTATACATGTAAGTCACCATATTGGGTATAATGTTCACAAATGGGTACTCAATACACTGTATACATTTTCAATATGGCCGCGCCCATTGTGTACGACAGTGTGAAGAAGAAGAAGCAGTATTATAAGAAATAAGAAATCGTGTATGGGTTTACATAGGGATGGACGAGTTGTCACAGAAAAGTATGACAAAATCATGGGCATCAAGCAGGGTGTAAATGCAACGTCAACAGGTGGTCGCGGAATCTTTCTTCCCATTTCCCTCTTCCTTGATTTTATCAATGATCCAAAGATAGATTGAATATAATGAACTTATCCCAACATTCCTTTTAATTTCATCGCTAAACTTATTGTAGAGCGTGGCGGCGAAGAAGTAATGTGCTTTTATTTGCGCGTGTCCTCATTGCTTGTTATTTACTATCTATTCCTTTTAACTGTTTTTGTTTCGAATAAGGGTTTTTATGCGGTGAGAAATTCGTTTCTTGCCGTCTTTTTTCCCTGTCATTCCGTTTGAAAGTTAAATAAACAATATATAAATGCGAATATATAGAAAAGTGCATTTCATTTTATTTTCCGTTGATCGTTGCGCAGTTATACGATTATCGTGGTTAGATAGGGTTGATGCAAAATATGATTCCCATGTAACTAAGCGCATTTGCCTAATCCCATTTTTATAATCAACAACACATATATATGTACATGATGACCCTTCATCACGAATTGAACAAAAAAAGTACCCTCAAAGTAAATTCATATCATCAGTGCGCACTCCAACATCAAATACACTAAATTCCTTTTGCGCACACGAATAGCGGTTGTTTTTTCATTCCATCTGAACAAATACAAAACTGGTGTGTTGGGCTAAAGCCATTTTCGAAAATGATTATTCGTTTATTGTGCGACGTTCCGCTCTTATAAGGAGCATCATCAGCCTGTAGAACAAAAATATACACAAAAAACAATGAGTAAGGGTTGAAACAATTCGCAAAAGCCGAAAATAACCAGATTACGAACCAGTTACATCTGAATTCAAAATGTTTTCGAACGTATTCCATTTTTTTCATCAATTTACACAAATTGTATCAGCCACACGTGTCCACGAGAGGAATTTTGTTATTGAGCTTCATTTAGTGTCTGAATATGATTACACTAAGCAACAACAAGAAACAACCACAGAGAAGAGGACTTATTTACAAAGTTTTTTGGGGCCACTTTATCCAAATCTAGCGTTAGTTTGTCCTGCCACGTCTTGTTTTTAAAATACGTTCATTGCGGTTTCCGTATCAGATTTGGATTAAGTCGGCCAAAAAACCTTGGGAATGAGTCTCCTCTTTTTGGGAGAATTTCGTTTTCGAAATTTGTTGCATAGTGTTAGTAGACCTCAATTCATATATTCCATAACTGAAAAATACCACAATTCATCAATTATACGTTGCATGGCACGTGTCAGCTATTAAAAGATGAATGGTATGAACGAGGCAGTACCGCATAGGGAAGATCAAACGAATTCAAAGGATCTTCTAAAGAAGTACAAGACGGTTCTCTACTATCATTGTGCAACAGGCTAAAACTCTGTTTCGTTGGCAAATTAAAATGAATATACTACACGGTTTGTTTTCGGTGCTATTTATCGTTGAATTTTCGGTAAGTTTTTTTCTTTTCTTTTATCATTTTCACTTTTATCCAATAAAATACGATATTTCTGTAGAAATGAAAACTAACACGAAATTTCTTTTTCTAGGAAATTCGAGGAAAACGTAAGACAATTTTGGTTTTCGAACTAGCTTTTTATAATTCCAAAAGATTCTTCCAGACTTCTATAATATTCAATTCGAAATTTCAACTTTTTTTTCTAATGAACAGATGGCTTTTTCTCGCAAGCTCTTCTTAAGGGCGAAGTGATTGAAAACATTTCACAGGCAAAGTTTGTAGCTGGAATCCATATCCCCGCAAGTGAGTCTGCTTTAGAATCATTTTCATTTTTTTTTCGTGTGAATTTTTGTCCGAAAAATTCAAATTTTCCATCAATTTTGCTGGGGGCTGACCACGCTTCAAAAAATTGAAAATAATACTAGATTTTATAATTTTTTTCAAACAATATATTATTTACAACTGTGAAAGAATGACTACCAGCTTTGCCCTATTTGAACTTTTCATGATATTTGTAAGTGAAATTTATAAGTCCATCTATTGAAAAAACCCAAAATCAATGAAAGTTCAAAGTTTTTCATAGATTATCTATGGTATTTACATGTGACACATACAGCGCCATCTATTGAAAAAAGTCACAATCGTGTCAAGTTGAAATAAGACAAAATAACCCAGAAAATGGTTGTCATTCTTTTTCGAACTTTCTCCAGAAACGTTTCACTGTAAATGATAACTTTCGATTGTGCGTTGTTTTTAAAACGAATATGCATTTCTGTCGGTTTCCTGTCAGAAAATTCATCACATTTTTGACCACCACAAAAGTATCGTTCATAGTAGATTATAGATTTAGTCAAATATTTGAGTTAACATACAGATGGTATTAAAACTGAATATAGAAACGAATTTTGTAGATGAAAAATTCGCGGTTTCCCCCTAGCAATTTTGTGTGTGTGTTCATTTTTTCTTTAAATATTATTGCTTGTACTGAGAATGAAACGATTTTATTACAAAATATTTGCATGAATACAAAAAGACCATCCAAATGATCCCAATAGCAAAATGATGAGTAAGTGTACTGCATTTATTCTGTCGAAAACGGAAATTATCACAAATGCCCATTGTGTGGATGACGCCCCATATGTTTATGTGGTAGCTGGTACGAAAGTTGTATCAGATGCAAACCAGAAAATTAAAATCAAAGTAGAAAAAGAGAACATTGCATGTCACCCTCATTATAGTCGTTTAATTGTTGGTGGATTTGATATTGCCAAAATTACACTGAAAACGCCGTTGGAATTCAGCAATACCGTTGGTAATATCGAACTCGTGGATAAGGAATACAAATTGAATGACCCATCAGAAGTGGTCACTGCCTATGGATATGGCGTGTTGAACAATATCGGACCATTGATATTGAGGCGTTGCGATGCAAACTATATATCTGATGTCAAACGGGCCAACACATACGACCCATATCAGACTTTGTGCTTTACCACTGGTGAAGCTACGAATGATGGCGAAATTATTACACACGGCGATTCGGGTGGACCAGTCGTTTCAAAAACAAATGGCAAAATCGTGGGCATAACTACGGGTATAAATGGAACAGCAGATGGTCGCGGAATGTTCCTTCCAATTTCTCTATTTCTCGATTTTATTCAAGACCCAAAGGTATCTAATAACAATGCCCCAATGTACATTCTCAACAAAGCAAACAAAATCATTTTTTGCATTAATTTCAGAGCGTGAAACCAATTCCACCTCCGCTTACACCTAACGAAGCTAAATTTATAGCCGATATAACGACACCGGGAAGTAAGTGTGCATTCGAAATTCGAACTAAATCAAACGTCTTTAACGTCACTTTTTTAAATTTTAAATAG